TCTCAATGGTAGAGGAGGTGACCATCAGTGGAGCATTGAACAGAGGGAGGACAGGTGGAAATATTATTTGTATTAGAGATGCTGCCGAGTCACAGGCACGTACACAACGCTCTGCCTGCTCACAACCAATCAGGATAATTAGCAATGTTAGTGAAGAATCTGTGGCCACAGGTTCCTCCACTTCAACTGGAGGCTCTGTTGTGCAGCCTGTAGCCACAGAGGCTAGCAATGACAAAACCCAGTATCAATTAAGAAGGGAAAAGGGGTTCTTGCCTTCATTTATTAATCCCATGTTGATCAATACAGATTACAATTTGGATGTTGGTAATGGAAATGAAAATATCCATAATACTAACACAAGAGTCAAGTCAGGGTCTGAACTTAAAAGAAATAATGTCAAATCTCCAGGAGATCGGAAGACACTTGAGAAGACATATGGCGCCTTTGCCTCTGAGACACAGGTCAAAAAATCTGACAAGGTTTGTGACTCACCTTGCAGCAAACTTTGTTCAGATCCAATGGTGATGGAAGATTCAGCTTTCTACAGTGAAACTGCAGATGACAAAATGTGTGGAAAGAGACCAAGAAACACAGACAGGAGACACCCTAGAGACAGGGAACATGTTTACTCCACTAACTCTATAGGGTGCTCAGAGGGGGGAGAAATCATCTCCAGACATGTTGGAAATGCACCCAAGAGAATTGGTGTTTCACCTGGTTGCCAGATAACTGCCCCTGCTTCCTGTAAATCAGGTAGTTTGCCTAGAGGCTGGCAAGATGCCAACCACCAGGACTGTCACATGGCCGACCACCGCAGAGACCCAAGGCGGGTGACATCATCCACCCCATGTAGCCCAGGGGTAACTCTGGAGAGGAGGCAGGGCAGACAGAACTCCTCAGTGAACCACAGCCTCCAATTCTCCTCTCCCTGGAAATATGGAGCAGAGTATAAACAGGAAGCATGTAACACCTCTAGAAAGGGTGTTGGATCTTTGCTCGAGAACTCAAGTCTAAGAATGAAACATGATGCAGTAAGTGGGAGGCTTCAGTCCCCCATTGAGAACAGTGGCAGGCTTTTCAGTGCCAAATTGGAGCAGCTGGCTGGCAGGACAAACTCCCTTGGGAGAGTCCCAAGAGACTTCCCAACTCTGAACAGAGGCAGCAGTAACACCTCCATGAGCTCTAAGGGGAGCTCCAAGGGAAGCATTGAAGGGGCTTGTAAGGGAGGTAATAGAGACAGTAATGAGGGACATTGTACTTTACCAAGAGCAAGCAGGGGTCCCAGAAAGACTCATCGGTCTGATGCAAGTCATCACTTCTCTTCTGAAAGCCCTGTTCCTCAGTCTGCCAAGCATTCTCATCACAAGCTCTCCGCTGTTGGGAAACTTAAGATAGCTTCCCCCAAAGTCCGTCGACTGTCTGCCTCCAGCATCAAGAACCTCGGTCTGTCCCACAAAGGCATACGTCAGTCCACCAATCGCAGTGCCAGTCTTTCCCCAGACAGTAAAACTGTTAGCTTTGAGCGAACATCCTCCTTTCTCTCTTCCTCCCCTCCACAGTCTTTTCACTCCATCAGTCGGACTCCAAGCCAGAGTTCCACATGCTCATCCACAAAATCTGTCATCCAGGGGTTCATCAACGGTCGGCTCTCAGACCTACTCAAGGAAACGGCCTCCAGCCCCACTTTAGGAGGAGTGGACGAAATGACCAGTCTTCCCTCACCATACAGTCAGATGACTGCTCCCCGCACGCCCGATCACCTGAGTGGGCATGCGAGTGATACCACGAGTGTGTTGAGTGGTGATCTGCCACCTGCAATGGGGAAGACATCCCTGTATTTCTCTCACAGGAACAGTTTGGTGAGCAGTGGCTACGACAGCATGTTGAGGGACAGTGAAACCACGGGTAGCTGCACCTCAAACAGAGACTCCGTCAGTGACAGGAGCAGCTCTCTGCTTAGCGTGGCTCGCAGCTCCCGATCGTCTCGGAGGAAAGGCAGCACAGGTAAAACATCTGGAATAACTGGCCTTTTATGAAATGTAATCCTCAATGTTCTCTGCTTGAAATATCATTGTGTTGATGGTGTTTGGGACATAACTTTGTTAGTTTATAATCAAAATATTTAGCATCGTAGCACAAAGCATTTTAAAACTAACATTTATTGGCTAATTGCAAGTGCAAAAACACTACTGCATCATATTTGATTTGATAATTTCTGATGGTATATTCTGATGCAAATTTCACTGTGGTCAAAAGATTAACAAGGAAAAGATGAATATAATATATGCTGTTTTAGATGACAAATTGTGGGTTAATCTTCCATTTGTTTTTTGATTTTCATGATAAGACTAGTGATCATGTGTTTTTACTCTGACCACATAACGTTTTAATGTTATGTCTACATTAACTGTAGATGACGCACATGTACTCAGACCTTGTGTAGGAGGCCACATAATTAATACATGAACCCAGAGACGGCACTTACTGATGGAAGCATAACTGCAGAAAATTGTGTTTGGCTGATACAGTGAATTACAAACACGGATCTTTGCATACTATCATTTCATGATAATGGAATCATACAGAGAGGAACATTTTCATAGCATTTTTGTTCAAATCATGGTTAACAGTGTTTATACTGACAATGGGGCCAACAAAGATCTAGCATATGAATTAGAAGTTAATTAGGTAAATGAATTCTGCACTACATTAGTATTAAAAGATCCGCTGCACTTCCTGAACTGCAAATGCAGTAATTCAAAAACACACAAATTATGTGTCCTGCCTTGACTGTATTATTCTGGCTCTGGCGAGCTGCATTTGCCCTCGGGCAAACTGAAGTGCGCATGGTCTGGGTGTTGAAGGGAACTCAGGGACACATGCCTTAATTTATCATTTAGATTTATTCATACTGTGTCACATGATGCTTTTAGTGTAGACTGGTTTTTGGCATAATTAATGTAGCAGCTCAAGAATATTCTTGTTCCAGCTTCATTCACTTTGTAGATACATGAGCACCACAAGCAGGATTTTTCATATGTAAAATATGACCACATAACCTTATATCTATTTTGCTGAATTTCACTTGATATAATCCCTCAAAATTAGATATTACTCCAACAATAACAATAGTTCTACTGTGTATATCTGCTATACTATGTATAGGAGAATGTTTCACAGAGGAAAAGAAGAGGAAAAAAAATCTTTAACTGCTATATCTGCCTCACCAAACTGTAGGAACTCACCAGCGTCGTCCTTCCCAAGATACAGCCTCATCCCTAAGACGCTCGGCTAGTGGTCTGCGCTCTCGCTGGGTGGATCTAGGAATCCCAGAGGCCTATGAGATCAAGGTCTATGAGATCGACAATGTGCAGAGGATGCAGAAAAGAGCAGGTGCTGGCAAACAGGTGCTGGGTTTCTTTAGGATTTTCTTTGGAGGTTAAAGGACATTTCATAATATATGACCTTTATCAACCTCAGCCAGCGACCCATGGAAAGATCTGGTAAACCAAATCTCTACCAAACTTTTTCAAGGGTCTCTAAAGCCCTGTCTACAAACAACTGCATTTACAAAAAGTATTTTTTTCTTTTGCTGCTCGTTGCAAAAAGTATTGCAGAAAACATTCAGGTAGTTTAGTTAGTTTAGAAGGCTTCACCTCTTATTTCAGTGTGTTTGCTCCTGTTGTTCTCAGGTTGTAGCAGGTAATGGACAGAAATTAGTCAAAATTCAATTCAAAATGAATTAGTTTTAAAGCATAGTTCCTTTTTTTTGGTACATTTTTCAGTTAGTCGTCAGTTAGAACTTGACAATTAACCCAATTCGATTTGATAATAATTAGATTTAGGTTTAATAGCAGATTTGACATATCCCTATCAGATCACAAGGCCACCTTATAACAGTGCTGCTGCCATAATGTCATATATTACATACAAATGTTAAAAACATCTAAACACTTCATTGTTGCATTTGAATACTAAAACCATGACCTCATTTGAATCCAGCAATATTGCAAGTTCTGTGTGTCACCACAGCTTGTATGTAGACAGGTAAAACATTGCTTTAATTCAAATATCTTAAGCACAACTCCAGTAGTGGATTTGCCTGAGTAGTTTGGGGGCAGTAGCTGCCTGAAACCTAAACATCACAAGTGTGCCTCTTTGCTTGCTTGGAAAAATAATCTGGTTGGGGAATTGAACGATTTCACTATGTCACAGTGTCCTTGAGAAAGGCACAACTCCAACAGTGGCCTCAAAGAAAGACTGTGGTCATACTGGGCAGCTGCCATACGGCTACTGTAATAAGGCACCATGTTGCTGAAAAACAGCGTCCTCGGGGAATTCACCCCGGGTAACTGAGGGTTAATAGTTTAAAGATTCCACCTTGCATGCTGAGTTGAATCGTGCTCGAAAAAACAAGACCGGGTGCATATGGTGACGTAATTTCCCCATGACGAAAGGTCTGGCCTCAGGAGACTACTCCCTGTCTCCATCAGTCTCAGACCTGGCAACTTTGATACAATTTTAATGACCACATGGGGGGAATTGGGTCAATGCTGCAGCTACGAACAAAGAACACTGGAGGTAAAACCAGTCCAACTCACTGTAGGTTAATTACATTTTTTAAATAAATAGTACATATGTAACATACATAACATATTACCTATATTTTATAATATTAATAGGTGTATGGGGGGGTTATTTTGTGGTATAACAATAGTTATACCACTGCACTTCATACTATTACATGCTAATATTTGAGACTTCTTTTTTAGTTTTCCTTTAAAAATGTGCATTTACTAAAAAAGTTCCCTCCTGTGTAATGAGGTTAGTATGATCAGAAGTAATTTTAATCTAGTACCCTGCAGAAATATCTGGATTCACTCCCCAGATGTGCCATCTGTGCCCTCACATGATGTTTACAAGGTGGTGGTGATGTGTGGAGAGATATAACAAAGGGGATGGGGGGGGGGGGGTTACTGTTGTTGATGCTACCTCTAAAGTGCATTTGTGTTGGTGTGTGTTGGTGTGGAACAGAGGTTTTCAAACTGTGAGGCCGGAAGGGAAAGGAGTTGAGGGTAAAGGAGGTGAGCCGGTGTGAGTCAGTGATCTAAAAACGCTGGGAAATTGGATATTATAGTTTGCTGATTTGGTTTGCCTAATTTTTTCCCCTTTTCTCAGAGTCTAAAGTCAAATCTGAACACAAAGCCATGATCCACATATTTTTAAGATTCAGTTTCTCTACATTTTCCAAGGACATACGTTATTTCATAAATATGGTCAGAAATTATAGAACAAGACAAACCCTCAGAGTATCAACTTCAGAACCATCCAAAGAATCATGACATTTTTACATCTTCACTATCAAAGTGATCCAGAGATAGTGATTCTTCCAGTGGAGTAATCAAAACAGGAACTGCTAATAATTCATTCTACAAACTGTTCTTGAGGTGGGAATAGATTAGTCTGAGTAATATTTTCCAAACTATTTAAATATTTTAAAATAATTCATTTCAAAAATCCTGTCTTGCTCTTCAGAGAAAAGTTCAGACTATACTTGTTTGCATTGGTCAGTCTGGGTAATGTCTGTAGATTAGAGCTGAGGGGTTTGTAGATGGAACAAATGTCAAATCTTGCTGGCTTGAGTTTATGGATACATGACAAAGTGTCCAGTATCCAAGTACCCAGTTTATTTTTTTGGGTTCCTTAACTATTTTGCGCTGTGTGAACAAAAGGAAAAGACATGAAATGTGTGTACGTATGTGTTTACAGGGCCCAGCATGCTTCAGTGCCAAGCTGAAGTTTTTGGAGCACCGTCAGCAGAGGATGTTAGAGGTCGGAGCCAAATACAACAACCTGAGGAGAGAGCTGGAACAAGTCAAAGACCGCCTCATGCTGGAGCCTGCAAAATGGAACCGAGAGTGTCAGTGGAATTATTTGTTCTTGGAAAAATAAACAATAATACTTTTCTCCTGAAAATCACAGGAGCTCAGTGCAGTTGTTTTATCATATTCTTTGTATATCTGTATAAAATTCTGTCATCCAGGTCATGGTGTCCTCAGGAGTTGCACATATGGGTAACAGGAGCCAGTATCCTATGAGCACATGTTCAACTCCTGAACACATCCTTAATAAATGTGCACAGATTTTACTGAATGCAAAGTAGAGACAGCTGCAATGTTTAACATAAATAGAATGTCAAAATCTCAACCTCTCAATTAAGGCAGAAAACATTTGATCATTATTGATGATTTTGCAGTTAAATCTATCAAATAAAAAGCATGCAAGCTCTTATAAAGCCTATATAGAAACATGTTCGATAATATTTTGTAGGACTCATTGTCCCAAAACCAAAAGATATTGAATCAACCAGCATATATGAAAGAGAAAAGAAACAGAGGGGGAGGGAGGAGAAGCTGGAACCAGATACTGTATTTATACAGTAATAATAACATCAGTGAATTGGCAAATAATGAGCTTGTGGTATCACAGCATTTCCACAGGGGGCAGCATACTGCCATTGCTGGTGCTATATCCTATTATTGGTATTTAATTAAAGTTTTATTATATGTGTCTTGAAATATCAATAATTTGGGTAGTTTCATACCAAAACAGCATATATGTTGTGGATGTGGACACATCTCAGCATCCTGTGCAGTGTTTGTTAAAGTTACTGATATCATAGAATAATCCCATCACACCCTACAGAGTCACCATGGCTACAGTAAAAGTATAGTTCCCCTTTAACCTTCCTATAATGTTGTTGAATGCTTTACATTGCAAACGGCTCCAACATTACCACACTGTCCTCTTTCAGTTGACCTGTGGCAGACGTTCGAGGTGGACTCCCTGGAGCACCTGGATGCCCTGGAGGTGGTGACGGCTTGCCTGGAGAACAGAGTCGATCGCTGCAAGGCCAACGTCATGATGGTCACCTGCTTCGATGCCGCCGCCAGGAGACGCCATAAGAGACGGCGAAAAACGCCAGAGCAGAGAACCCTCAAAGGAATCTGAATTGAATGGCGAGAACAGAGAAACATTTGATTAGGCATCTCTTTTTCTCAGACTCTTATGTATCATCAATTTATTTCTATTCATTCATTTATTATATTACACTGAAATCTTTGTGCCACTGACTGTCTTGTCGTTACACACACTTTATGTTCTTACCTACTCCATTATCTTTGGTAGCTTACTGTAAATGAACCCAAAGAAACAGAGTAGAGTCTTGTGTTATGAACACATTCACATGGGGTCAAAGGTTTAACTCTACAGCTGACAGGAATTAAAAAAGGGCTGACACTTGAACCATTCACTCTTTAGAGGTTCCTGCACATCAGACGGCTTAAAAGATTCACTCCTGTCACCTCAAAGAGTCAGTTTAATTTAGTGCAGCATCTAACGCTAGCAAGACATTTATATACGAGCTAAGGTGCTAGGCAGAGGAAAAAGTAGCCTCTCCTCTGTAAGAATCTGCTGAGAATTTAAAACATCAAAATTTAGTTGTTAAGGGATAATTCACCCAAAAATGCACTCATCATCTATTCACCACTGTGCCGATGGAGGGGTGGGTGAAGTGTTTGAGTCCACGAAACACTTTTGGAGGTGCTTAGTGACAGACAGCTACGCTGACCAATCATTTAATTTGGTTTGAACTAGTCGTGCTTATTTATTGATGGGATCATGAAGATAATTTCAACAGATAAGATAAAAATTGTTTCAGAAACAAATTACCATCCCTACCTATAAAACTGTAAAATATACTTAATATTGGATTCTCTTGCAGAGGCTAACACGTCTGTGTACTGGAGGCCCCAACGTCATGCACTTTTTGTAATTTATCTCATTTCACTTAGTTTCTGGTAAATTTGATACATACATGTACCTCAACGTCTTCACATAGATCTCAACTACACGCTGACACTCACTGATATGTTACAGACTTAGAATCCAGTTCACTGCACTTTATTTGTCCATGATCTTTGTGTTCTTTGAGTTTCCACTGATCAATTAATCAAACTGAGTAATTAAAATCTCGATTTTAATAAGACAACATTCATAACTGTGTGATTCATTTGAACAAGAATTTATGTTTTGCAGCAAAACGTCAACCCGTCTCAAGCTAATGAAATGATTCTGCCTTAAAAGTTGTTCTCTTTCTTATGAAGTTTGGAGTTCACGGTTATTGAACAACTGATGTTCAAAAGGGTAAACCATGCTAACCTGATGTGTAAATAGATTGTGGTGATGAAACCCATTATAAAGATAAAACCATATTTTAAATCTTTTGAAATGTCAAAAATACTTGAAGCCTGGTCCAAGCAGTTTCTGAGTAAGCTGTGACTCAATCAGTGACTGAGTCAGGCTAAAAGATGAGGGAAGGATTGAAGATTGTGATTTTGTGAGGATTTCTCCCTCTCTTCAGAAGATGAGTATAGTCTGTGATCAATAAACTGCTGAAATACATTAGTAAATGATCGGAGGCCAGAATGAAAAAAATGTGGCTTCTGCTCTCAGGCTAATGGAGGAGTAATTTCATTAAAGTCATAACGTCATTCTATCTGAAGAGCCCGGCGGCTCTGAGCCGATCTGGACCTCTGAGCCAATCAGAGACGAGACGCTGATGCATAGTAATCAATAGACAATGTTGGGTTTTCTACCTGGATCGATTTAAACATACAGGGGAGACACACACACACACACACACACACACACACACACACACACACACACACACACACACACACACACANACACACACACACACACACACACACACACACACACACACACACACACACACACACACACACACACACTGGATGTTTGTCTTGTGAATGTGATAAATCAGCATGTTGTATGTTACTGTTAATGCATGAGCTCAGCTCTTTCCTGTGTTTGTAGACGGTGCAAAAATTAAAGTTGTAAAGATGCTTCTGCTCACAGTTCCATCAGATGTTTGTCTGTATAAGCGATCAGAGTGTGTATTCAGTTTGTATGTATGCATGATTGTGTATGAGTGTGTGTGCACAAAGAGTGAAAATGATGTTGTCTTGTTGTGATCCAAAGCAACAGGATGACTTTTCATGTCATCCAGAGCAAATGAAAATGTGATGAGGAAAAGCAGAGTTCAGCCCTAAAGCGTCCCAATTATAAAGTCAAAGTCAAACTCAAAACACACACAAACACACACACACACACATAAACACACATCTTCCTTCCTTCCTTCCTTCCTTGACTTAGCCCTTCCTCTCTTTCTGCTCCACTTCCTCATCATGCAGCCTGATCTGAAGTTCCTCTGTGTGTGCTCAGATTTGGAAAAAGGGAGGACAGGGATGAAGACACAAACAAACACTAGGATTTGTACAGAAGCCATGCAGCAGAATGTCCAGGGGCCGATTAAACCTGAATAATGCATGAGTGTATTTTAAACATGAGGAGAAGAAACATCATTTCTCATTATTTGGAGGAATGTAAGCATCTGGAAAGACAAATTGAACTGCTTCAGCCAGTTCAAACATTTAAATATACTTTGAGATAAAGATGTGGGAATCACATTTATGTTGTTGTATATGGGAGAGCAGAACGACATCCACTTATTTTCCCAACTGACCAGAGGGTTTCTTTGTTTGGCTCTGTCAGAATAAACAGATATTAACTCCAAAGATATTCACTGTCCTGTCTCCCTAGACTCTCGCTAGATTTTAGTCTCAGAGTTGTCGAGTAGTTGATGCTCAGGTGACTGAAATGGTGCATTTCTGCTTTAATCACTTCAGACAATTAACCAAGATCAGGTCATTTCTTTCCTCTGCAGATTTGTAAAGGTCATCTGTGATTGTATCTCCTACAGACTAGACTGCTGCAGTGTTCTCTACTCTGGTATCAGCAGGTGAAACTTACAAACATGCATATGTCTCCTGCCAGCCGGTTAACACATATTAAAGGAATTCTTGCTGCTCTTAACCAGCTTCCTGTACGTTTTTGAACTGACTTAAAGATTTGAAGATTTAACTGAATGGCCAGTCATCTGCTAACATGATAAACCTGATGGCTGCTTGAGATCCTCTGGCCGGACCCTGCTAATGGTTCCTACATCCAGACTTGTCCCCAAAGGTGACCTTCCCTGTCTCTGCTGTCCAGACCCTTCAGCTGTGGGACTCCCTGCTGGGAGATCTCAACCAGGCTGCTCCTCTAAAACTCTCTTCTCAAAACTCTCTTCTATCACATACATGGCTTTTTTTAATAACTGTTGAAATCTGCAGTAATTATTTGAATGCACTATAACTATTTTATATGTATAGATATAAGTTTTGGTTCTTGCATTTGGTGTAAAGAATGTTGTTTTATTATAAATTATTAGCATCCTAATATTATTTCCCCTTTAGGATTAAGATGAAAAAATGATCCAAACCTGTTAACAGTATTAAAAATCTAGTTATTACAACCCTCAAAATTTCTGTATGTCAAACATTGTATAATGCACACAGTAACAGTAACTTTACTGTTACACAATCAGCTAATTACTGGTTCAGTTCTATGTCATTACTGGAATACATGCTGGACACATTTGAAGAAATAAGGATTGATGAAAAAAATACTGCAACTAAACTAGTGACATTTGTCTTAAATCACAACCTTACTCCATTCATTACTGTGCAGTGGACATAATGACATCTAATTTAAGCATTAAAGAGTTGAAATAATACAGCTACATAAATGTGATTTTTTTTTAAATTAAACTGACCAAATGGCGCACTCCAATTTTTATAGGGTAGGCCTACAGGTGATAGATACAGCTCTGGAAATGATTAAGAAACCACTGGAAGAAGATCCGTTCTTTACATTTTACATGTGAGTTCAAATAAAATTAATATATTTGTTCTGTTCTTTAAACAATTGACTACCTTCCACAAAACACTGAAATGAAATGGCTGCAGTATGTCAGGAGTGATCTCTTCATATAGAGATATATAGAGATATATAGAGAGATACAGATAAACATATATCGTGAGTGCATGATGACAATGAAGAGGAGGGAGGAGAGGGTGATTCAGCTATAACAGGATATGCACCTCCGTCATTAAAGTGACTGATCAGTCTGCAGACATGTAAAGGATTGAGATGTGTTTCATTCTGTTGATCTAATGTAACAATACAAAGCACAGACTTTGCACATTTGGTATTTTTCCCTTTGTAATCCTGTGCACGGTCTTTTCAGTTTAAACTCACCATGTGACCGCCTCATCTGTAGTTACATAACCGCTGACACAGCGCCAGGAGCCAGTGTGACACATCTGCCACAAGATGGCGGCCTCGGCCACATGCTTCGATCCAGATAAATAAAAAAAAAAAGAAAGCGGCCACCTCGACGTGTAGGAACATGTAGGCTATCTGGCAATGAGGGGGAGGCGAGAGGCAGGAAAGGAGCCCGGGATTGAAGCGCAAACAAGCGGTAAGAGAGGCTGTCAGAGGCGGACAGATGCCGGAGAGAGGAGCCCGCTGTAGGAGCCTGGAGGACGGGCACAGAGGGAGACAGCTCCCCGCTGCTGCTGCGGAGCGTTGATGTCCAGAGGAGAAACATCCAGCAGTGAGTCCATCTCTCTCCTCCCTGTTTTATTTTGTGACAGTAACTTAACATGGTGGAGGTTTGTTTCCTTGTTTAATTTACCACAGGAAGACGGCAAACAGAAGAAGTGATGGAATTATTAGAGACGATAAATAAACTGGATAATCTGCTTCAGACACGCCGCTTGTTATCAGCTCACATCGTGTTTACACCTTGTTCATACAGTTACATCACTGGCGCACTCATTCATCCTGACGGTTAATTGATGGCGTCAGAAATAACAAACATTAATTGGTCGCGAGGTGCCGCGGTGCACGAGAGCGTCAGCTGCACGCGCCGTCGGTGCACGTGTTGACTTGGCCCCGCGCACAGTCGCGTGGGCGCGCACGCACCCTCGACCACCCACTGGTGCGAAAAACAAATCGAAACAGAAAAAAGAGGAAATGAACGTAAAGCAGCAAACGACAGTCTAATAAAGAGGAAGACCTGTGAAGCTGTGATCACGTGTTAATGATGGCGGTGTGAACACAAACACAAGTGACAGCTGCTGACAAGCCTTCTGCAGCGAGCCAGGGGCGGATGCAGAGAGTGCATGGGCCAGGGGGGCACTGGCCCCAGCTGAAATCTAATTCGCTCCTGAAGTGCCTCTGTCCTGTCAGTGGACTTTGTTATTCTCAATAAACGTACTAACAATAGTAATAAGGTTCCAGGTTCAAATCTCGGTTCAGCCAGCATCTTTATGTTTTCAGATATGCACTGAACTCCACAGTTCCTCCTTATTTTCTAAGATGCATATGTGAACACAAATGACTGAGTGAGACTCCACTTTCTGTGGACTGTCTCTGCCTGGCCCCCAGTTGGCAAGAAAACCAGGAGACATTGATGTTCGAGCACACTAGGGGATCCCCTGGGTTCACCGCAAGCGAGTGGGGGGGTTGATGACACTCCTAACACGCGATTGACTCAAAAAAGACAAAAGAAATATCTCCCGGTGAAAAAAGTATATGCAGCAAATGAAATATATACATTGAAGATTATGTATTTGTCATGATATTATTTTACAAGGGTAAATGTGATACATTGCTGCTCTGACTTTTCCATCGTAATTGTTGTTTGATTTTGGAGCAAAGAGTTTCCAAACCGTATGGCATTATTCAACAATAAGCAACGATATTTACTGCAATGGATTACTACAAAGTTTAAAGAATTAGATGTTCTGTCCAAAGGTAACATCTATATATCACTGTTAAAGCTCACCAGTCTACATGATGTATCTTGTTTGTTACCACCAACATGGATGTTAGTTTGTTTATTTGTCAGCAGGATTAATCAAAAAAGTATGGAGCTGATTTTCACCACACTGGGTGGAGGGATGGGACATGGGCCAGGAAAGTAAACATTATATTTTGGGGCAGGTCCAGTTAAAGGGACAGAGCCAGGAATCCTAATTGAATCACTTTACTTGACATCATCAGATGGGACATTTTGGGATTATGAGTTTGTATAATTTAGTACAAACAATCATCCTTCCATGTTGTGTAGAAGCTACGCAGACGTGTAGGTTTGTTTGGCTCCGGTGGACGTATGTGCTCTGCTGAGTGCATTTCAGTTCCACCCTTAAAAAACAGAGTTGTGGTTACACCTAACATTATGTGATGAATTATTTCTTGGCTGCATGGGTGCAGTGACTTCCCACATGCAGTGACTTGTTTGTTTGTTTCTGGTCTCTATGCTAAGCTAACCGCCTGCTGGCTCCGGCTTCCTTTTTACTGTGTAAATATGAGTGTTATTGATCTTCCCATATATTTCTCAGCAAGAAAGCAAATTAGCATATTTTCCAAAATGTCAAACTATTACTTTCTCTGTAATGTGATAGAGACTAATGGCTGCAGAAATGTTTGGCCATTGAATAATTCTTTTTTGAGAGTCTGTCAAAGATTATTATTAAAAGCTAATAATCGTTCTCGTTATTACTCTTGTTTTACATATATACAAAAAGTAAAATTTGATTAAAATAAAATACAGAACCGAATAAATTTCATGCTTGGAAAAAGACATTTAACTTAGCTTTGGAAAATGGGCAGCAATGAATAATATTGAAAAGGCCAAATATATGATGCTTTTTTACCACATATTGATTTTAGGAAAATAGGTACAGTTTACAGCATCTGGTAATTTATAGGAGAAACCTCACAAAGGCAAAGTGTCGTAACATGATTTAGCACAGTCCACACAAATCTTCATCTTCAGACTCCCCTGCATCATTCTTAATTTCATGCTACACATCCGCATGAGTCAGCCTCTGTTCCCATGCAATGTTTGTACTTTGTGTCACATTCCATGTTGCAGAATACAGAACATTCACATGACCACTAACACGCTGTGTGAACACAGCATCTCACAGCTCTCATGCCCTGAGACCACTCAGGCTGAAAATGTAGGTTTCATGAGGCAGAATTATATATATAAATATATGCGGAACATGTCAGATGCTTGTCTCACCTCTACCAACGCACAGAGATGGTGTTTGTGAACACATTTCTGATCTGGCTCCCACTGGTGAGGCTCAAATAGACGCACACAGGTGTGAATCTCTGAAGCCATAATTGAATGGAAAATAAATATTTAACTTGTGAAAACAGAAGATAAAATACACAAAGCCTTGACAATACTTTGTTTGGTATTCCTGATAATATTTACAGTGACAGGACTGGTCAGGGGTTAGTGACTATGCTTTAAAAGAGCAGCCCTTCTGATAATGTCAGCCCTGTGACAACAGTTAAATCCCTGTGAAATGGCCTCAGGCAGGTCACTAAATCCCCTCCTTGTCAGGTATTGTTAGTCTGAATGAAAACATCAGCAAATGGGCTGTGAATAGAGACTTAATTTCACGTGTACAATTTTACTTCATGCAATATGTGGTAATATATGGTTTTATAAGGTGTCTTGAAGATGAAAGTTTCCTTTTTGAATCACGCAGAGTTTAGTTTAGAGAGAAATGCAAGTTTTTACATCGGGTAGAAACAACTAAAGCCCCTTTTACACTGGTCAAAAAACCCTCTAACATCTGGCTTTTGTCTGCAACGGAAATTAATTCAATCAGCATTCACTCCTGGGTCAAATGATTCTGCTGTGGTTACAGGTTTTGAATCGGCTCTGATGGGTGCGTTTGTGACGTTGAACATGAAGCACCAAGGAAAAAACAGATAGCTTTGGTGAGCTTAGCACAGCATCTAGTGCCATCAGTAACAGCTATAATTAGCATCTAGCTCAAAGCACCAGTGTCTTAACAGTCTCACATACATTAGATGCTACCATGGCTGTTAGGGGTGTAACAACTCTCCAAATCCATGGTTTGATTAAGACTTCTACATTGAAAAACGCAAATGAGACTTTACATAATTTAAAAACATCGTTATAAATAATATGTATCTATTTAACATACTCCTTGCTAATCATTCGACTATACTACTGAATTATTATTTTCAACCAAGGGTTATACATAATGGAGCACTCTACCATGCCTCAATGGACAGTCATGGTTCAGACACAAAGACAAGCCTTTCAGTCATTTCTAACAGCAATGCTGCTTCGCTTCTCTCCCAGAGCATTTTGCATGCATGAGGCATATGTTGTGTTCCCTTTTCAAAATGTACCTAATTTTTTTCTGACAGGGAAACAAATCTACACCGAAGAGAAAGCGGAAATAAACGCCAGTGAGGACGGCAGAAAGTCAGGGAGAACTGGGAACTATAGTCTCCACAACTCAGCCCTCGAAGACCTCAGTGGACGTTTCAAATCTCTCTGTTCTTGGCCACCCATGAGAGGCGGTGGAAGATTAAATCACATGCTCCTTGAAGAGTGATCACAACCAAACCTTCTGAGACCTCACTCTCAAGTATTCGAGGAAGCCTTTGAAACCTTAATGGAAGCTTAGAGCGGCACAAACTTTCCTGAGTTATTCGCTTGTCCAGCTCAAGGGTAGTGTTTGACAGAGGAAGTATTTGATGCCGTTTTACTAAAGGCCTTCATCGAGAGACCCAGCCACTGCCCACTGCAGGGTCTCAGAAGCCTTTGGGTGCCACTGATCTGGAGAAGACTCTGGACGTGACGGAGGTGATGGGCAACAAGAACAGCAGCTTGCCAAAAGGTTCAGACACTGCGCTTGATCAAAAAGAGGAAGAGATGTTCATCGAGAGCACCACAGGTAAAATACTTATTCTTTAAAATAATATATGACTGTTGTGTGCTTTTTATGTTTGTGCACTTTAAGGAATCTACCTTTTGCTTCACTGTCTTCTGATGTGGTTGGAAATGACTATAACAAATAAACAGTATGATTCATTCACACCTCATTTAATTAAATGTCTTGCAGAGCTGTTATCTTTAAATGACAGTAGACTAACTTAATTTATCTCTTTGCACAGTAGAGACTCAGTAGATTAATAACCAACCTGCAGAGAACTGACTGAAAGCTGATCAGCTATCTGCTCCCACAAACTGCTGTACTGAGCCAGAAAAAAAAAAAAAAAACAAGCTTAAGATGATCAGGATGATACTAAGCTGTAAGGAAGCCCAGGCCTCTTCTGATGCGTATGATGTACTATACAGTTGGAGTTGATAAGCTACGTTATGTAAGAGTAGCACTGTATGGCTCCAGTTACGTTGCTGTTGCGTCATTGCAGATGCAACCAGAAAAAAGAAGAGTGAAACGGACAATATCCCCAGAATAATGTGCTTTTGGATATCAGAATAGAAAAAGATCCTCATTTCATAGAAAACCTCCATCAAAGACGTCCCTTTGAAGCTACATTTATTTATTTAGAAACAGCAGTAGCCACAAAACCTGGCTTCTCAGTAGGCGTCCTCACAGTGATGAACAGTAATGACCAATTTTGGCAGCATTAGCGTTTCAGTAACAGCAACATGTAAACAAACCTAACATGCACAGTCTGGTTATAGAATCGCTCAGTATGCCGTCTTAATTAACACACGCACTTTGCCTAGGATAGAGACTGTTCTCCTGGTGTTTCTGTTACTGAACTGAGCAACATCATACTACAGCTTCCAATAAAAACATTCAAAGTATTTCATCTGTACAATAAACAACTATATATTGCAGTTTTACAGGTAGTTATGTGAAAGTGAGTGAGTTACTGGTGTCTTGTCAACTATAGTCAGACACAGACACTGGGCTATTCCATTATATATAGTCTCAGTGCACGGTCACACATGTGAGTGTAGCAGTGGTGAACCTTCACCTCCTGATCACTTTCAATCTCTCCATTTTGGTGAACTTTGACCCAGGACATTTGCCTGTATGTGTGAGTGTTAATCTCAAACTAAGCCAACAGGCTGCTGGCTCTAGCCATATACCAATCAACTGAAATCCTCCGTTAGATCTGTTATCTCAACAGAGACGTCAGGACCAGTCCTTCACAGAGCAGATATGTTTGCTGTAGCAGAAAAACATTTCTATTTGATGTGACATGGACGTCACTGTTTGTAACGCAGGCTCTGTTAGGATGCAGGATGTGGGCTCTTCAAGCCAAAGCTGATATTATATCATGCTTGTTTCCCCCAGACTCAAAAAAGCAGGTTGAGGAGTACTCAACTGACCATTATATTGAAAGTACTATAATGTACAGCATACACTTCCATATATTGTGTATTTCTATAACTCATGATTATGTCAGAAAAACACAGTAAAGATACTGTGATCAGAGTTTACGCATCAAGACAAACAATAAGTGAAAAGTCTTATTCACATGTTATTCTAGTGTGTTTGTGCTTTATTTTCCAGGAAGTGTCTCCAGAGATGGAGCGCTGGGCCTCACCCCTGAGCTGCTGGCCTCCCTGCAGTCCCTCGGAGAAAACAGTGACTACACTCTGCTTCCAAACTCTCTGCACCAGGTGTGTGTGTGATTGTGTGTGTGTGTGTGTGTGTAGATCTACTTTAAATGTTAGAGAAAGTTGGATGACATTTTTTCTCCTATATCCAGGGAGAAGATACCTCTTTTAGTACAGCCAGATACCTGAGATACACATAATAAATCCTGAGCTGGTATTTCTCAGACATATATAAGATTTGATTCGATTTTTACCATCATTATACAAATGCAACATGAAATGAACAAAGTTAGAGACTGAACGTCTTAATCATCTGCTGTAAACTTCATTGTTAAGAGGACATCAGCAGTTACTGAGGCAGAATATGACATTTATGCAACCGCTGTGCAGGTGCAGAGATTTGAACTAGCAGCCCTCTGCTCCTTTGTTCGTCTCCTGGCGACTCTCCTGCCTCAGATCACAATTACAGCATTCAAACAGACACACTTATTAGAGGTGTGATAAATATAGTTTGGTTGTGTCTCTGTGTTTCGCTGGGAGGAATCACACAGAAAGATCAGTGGTTTCGTGAAGCGTGTGCAATACTTTGTAGGCTACGATTTCCAGACAACACTTAGAACAATGTGATTAATTATCTCAGCTCTTCTAGAGCCGTGAGAGATTTATAGTTTGGTTTGTGTTGCTGCCAACTGCAGTAATCACGGAACAAAGACAAAGCTGTTCAGCCTCAAATACTAAGAAAGGAAAAGGAGAGGCAAAGCACAGCAATCAGGGTCTGGCTAGTTTGACAGAAGCAGTTATATGGAACGTTTCTTGTAGCATGAAACCAAGTCACAAGAAGTTTGTGTTGGTCGGAGTGTTAGCACATATGACAGATCACTATGTTCATTTTGTAAGACCCCTTTTTATCAGAAACATGGTCAGTGTCTTTCATACTCTATCAGACATGTAGGTCCATATTTGGTCATAGCTGCTTATGCCTGCTATTGCTGTGTACCGAGTACTTCAAGACCTGAATCCACTACACAACTGACTTGCTACTTTAATAATTTTTACTTTGTGTGGTTTGCAAAAGTCCGGGGTCACCTCATCACTACATGTACGCCTCCGCCCATCCTGATTCAGCGTGCTGGAAATCGAGTCTCTCGAATCGCTTTGAAGATTTCATACATAGTGATTGGCGACTTCGGATTTTGCTCTGGCAGGGCCAGTTGCAAAATTTGTTGGCTAAAAAAGTATGTCTAATGTGAGACTCTTATGAGACTCTTTTATCAATAAGCTCAGTGAAAGGTAGGGAAGTCCCAATAGTGCTCCTTGATACCCATCTGAATTTTTACAATAGTAGTAGTAGAATGTAGAATACCATGTCTACTATGCAAGATAACAAAAAAATTTTCTGGTTGTTTTCATCTATGGACGTTGGTTTCAACAAGAAAATGTCATTATTGTTCATATTCATCCTGATACATGTGACCTACCGGCCACTGAGGAGACAAATAAAAACCTTCTGGTTTTTAAGCTTTCCCTGATGCATACTGCATTTTACATCACGAACTGATAAAACGAGAAATCCAAATAAGGCATGTTCTGCTGTAGTGAAATTGTAATGGTAATTTTTCACATTTTATAGCACAAATGTCTAATCAATCTTGCTGCAGCCTGAAACTACCTGCTATCTGAGAATTATAGTGATATCTGAGGGGGAGAGACTACTCTAAATCATGTGGTCGACTGGGTGAGAGGAAGGAGAAAAAGTGTGCTGATGGGAAAGAAATCCCATAGACGCACGCTAATCCGCACCATAAGTAACAGCATGTGACTTCATGTCTCAGGTCGTCTGCCTCCTGGCATGATGCTGCCATGTGATCCCCAACTTTGAAGGAATTTGGTGAATTAAAAAAAAGACTATTTAGAGTTTGACATCATTTTCAGAGCACAGCAGCAGCAGAGTTTAAGATCACCGTGTGCTATGATTTTTCATGTGTCGATGTTTCACACTGAAACTCTCACATAATTTGTGTTAGTTATTTTAAGCCACAGCTAATGAATCCTTTATTCAGTGTGAATTTACAAACTGTCTCTGTTTACCTTTTTCGTTTCAGATTGCAGAGGCCTACTCACTCCAAGAAGACTGTATCCTTTCAAACGCACTGTGACCTAATTTCTGTGTTTATAGGTATTGTAACATTTGCCAATCATTAGATTTTTCCAGCCAAGGCGTGACTGAGCCAGAGTGGCACTTTTGAAGAAAGCAATAGAGTGGTTTCTATTCTATGGAGACAGTGTTTCCATTTGTGGTGGCTGGACAGTGGTTTAGCTTCAAGGCCAGTCCTGGTCTGATGAACACCAGAAGGGTTTCAAGTTTACCCTAAAAGAAGCAATTAAAATGTTACCACTAAATGAAATATTCAATGAAATATTAGCAAGATCATAGGGATTTTTTTTATTTTGTCAATCGTCTTTATCGTTATCATTTTCCAAGTTTGTTTGTCCCTCAGTCGCTGGGTGTTTCTCATACTTTGGCTCAAAGCCCTGAGGGTTTGCAGTTGTAGTTTCCTATGGTTCTGTTTGTGCCGTTCTCCTGGCAACAGCTGAACGGCTGATCTTGCTGCACAGAGGATGGTATGAGTTGATGTGTTTACGTGTAAGAGGTAATAGGAGAGAAAAAGACAAACACAGAGAGGGAGGGAATGCTCCATGTACAGTGAAGGATGTTTTCAGAGATATAATGAGACAAATGTCTGAGATGTCAGTAACTTAACTGTATTGCTGCATTTCCACAGAAGGAACTTTCCCCAGGAACCAGGAGCCTTTGCAGGAGCTCAATTTAGACCAGGGTCCAGGTTAAGATCCAGGGAAATCCAAACATGCCTGATTGGTTAATTATTCCAGCATAATACAGCATTCTCCACAATAGCTTGCAAAATCTATTCAAGTCCTGCATTTCAGGTGTTTTGAATGTACTTCGTCACTGGTGCTCGTCTCTTTTCTGAAGTATGAATTGAATCTCCTCCATCTGTACTGTTCTTGCAGTGACGCTTGATTTTTTTTTAGCAATATCGCTATATTATATATCCACACACATTATCAACAGGTCACACTCCCAGTTTTTGTCATTGAATGGCTGCTGTTGAATCAATGCCTCAGTCCTACAGAAACACCTACCTTTATAGAATAAATATAAATATAACACCAGTAATAGACTGAGAGATGCATGTTTCTTTCAAATTACACACTAGGCTGTGAATTCTATTGGCTGTGGCAGCAACCTGTGTAAAATCTATATATATAAAACTGTAGATGGTCAGGGACATTCGGATTGAAAGTGTCTTTAACTCATGATGCTTCCAGACCAGTGGGCCATTCAGTTCCTACAGCTTGAGAAGCTCTACCATGAACGTCTGCTCTCCAACATTGACGCCCTGCAGGAAAACTGGGGTATTGCAAACATCTTTTTCTCGCCTTTGTGAAATATTACCACTGATCATAACCTACATGCAATTCTGTGCTATCCAGAGAAAAAGAGAGTGTGTGTTTATTTTGTATGCACTTGTGTTCTCAGAGAGCCGGTGGAGAGAGAGGAACCCTGAGAGTTTAACTGCAGAGACAGACGCCATCAGTGTGAAACACATCGAGACCCTGAGCCAGATCTGCAGGACACATCCCAGGTAAAGCACAACAATGTCTGATGATCCTTTTCATCAGAGCTGAAGCAGAGATACATGGGGGAGGAGTCTGGATTCATCAAGAGCCGTTTTATCTATGATCTGCCCCAAAAGTTCCCCCACAGGGTGTGGTTAGACACAGCAGGAGACTTTCTGCACTCCAGAATTTATTCAAACATGTCCACATGCCTCTGCTCCATGAGCTCAACCAGCTATAGCTTCCTCAAATTCCTCTCATTCCATTCACATTCTACTTGACCTAGATGACCAGCTGACAGAAACCTTTTAGCTCCCATTTCCTTTACCGTAATCGACTGTAATCTTTATTTTCCTTGAAGACATACAGAGGAGTCGCAGACTGATCTGGCACATGGATAATGCATGAAAATGCACAGTGGTAATTGTTGGGAAATTCAATATTACTGACAAGACAGGAACGATTTGTGCAGGATAGTCATTTCCACCAGACAGAGACAAATACCGCAGGTCTGGATGCCAGACACTGCACCTGTGCTGTGACTCAGTATGTGATTGTAGCCCGCAGTTACTTTTGTACAGGTGGATTTGATATAGCTGGAGAAGAAATTAAAAGCCTGAAGAAGACCTGAGCTTTTTAATATGTTAAGTTACAGAGCAGTATCCTTGTCTGACCTTCCTCCTGCGTTCTGTGTGCTCTTTCCCTGTCTCTGTTTGGCATCACTCAGACCATCCATCAATGTGGAGGAGGTAAGACACAGAAACATTCTGTCTACTTTGCTCATAGAGCAATCTCAGACTTTTTCTAAATGATAAACTAATGTTATCTATGTTTGATTCAACAGAACAGTCTCAATACATTGCTGAGAGAAATACAGATCAAGCACCAGACACTACAATCCTGTCATGATACAGGTATGTGTAACACACACACACACACAAAAGCTAAATACTAATTGCATGCCAAGAATACCACAATGCTAATACGAACTTCCTAAGTACAATCAATGTTTACAATTCATTTTGCATATTAGTATTCTGATGTTTACTAATTGTCACTAAGGACAATGTGCAGCAGATGCTGACGAGTCATTCGTTTTGCAGCTATTAAGTATTAATAACATTTTACATTTGACTTAAAGATGATTGAACTATTTGAAGTCACGTTTTAAACAGTTTTCACACCTAACTTGTTTGGTCCAGACCTTCAGACTCTCAGGCTCTAAGCTTATCTGGACAAGCCAATAAAAACATTTTTTGAGACCAAAAGAGTTGGTCTTGGTACGGATCAAACTGAGCCACGGTTTGGTTCATTTGCGATGGGAAAACACTTTTTTGGATAGTTTGAACCAAAAGCAGTAGGAAAAAGGAAGATGAAGACTTTGCGGACATTCATTTGGCTCATAGTGTTGAGTACTGTGTATTAGGTTGATGATGCGGGTAGTAATACCATAGTAACACAGTGGCAACGAAATTAGTGAGATGAACCAGTTCATTCATTTTCCGAATTGAAACAGAAAAAACAACTATGCGCTGAATCGATAACACGCCGACCTCTACAAACCACTCAGTGGCAAGTGTAGATATCTGCCCACGTAGGTGATGAAGACAGGACATACGTATGTCATACAAAATCCTTTACAGCTGTTTTATAGCTAAATTGCAATGTAAAAACAGAACTCATTTGATCACACATAGACAACATAACAAAGACACCAGCCTTGGTTTCGAGTGTGAAAAACGCTCAAAATGGTGTTAACATGATGATAATCTGTATAATAAACAGTATTCAGTTTATTGGTTAAATTTAAATTTAGACAGTGGGGAAGTGGAGTCACATATCAAATTACACATGAGCTCTGTGTCCATACATAGAAAGTTCAAACACAGGTCAGGTTTGAGTGATAATCCATAATCAATAGCCAACGTCCTGTATTACTGCACCATTCTAGTCGACAATGCTGAAACATCACACAAGGATGGAGAACAAGAGCAGAACGTGAACTCAGGATCAGTGCCAACCTCACCACAAACAGGCCGTGAGGAGGGAGGTGGGGAGGAGGATGGAGAGGAAGACAAGGAGATGTATGAGGAAGGACAGGAAGTAGAGGAGGAGGAGGAGGGGCCATGTGCGGAGACACCAGAGGAGGATGAAGAGGTCAAGGTGGAGTGGCCAACAGGAGTCCCCCAGGCCTCGGACAAGGACCTGGCCAAGCTGTCCCACGCAGAAGGGGTAGGAGTCCAGTCTTTTCTGCTTGTCTGATTTGTCTTTTTCTGCCTTCATATTGTTATTGGACTGTTAGTGGACATTTTTATATCAAGTGTCAATGCAGTGTGAGCAACATGGATATCAGATGAATGTGACGGGTATAAATAGCTTTTCCTGCTCTGGATCCTTGCACCTCTCTTATCTTTCCTTCCTACTGCTTTTCCCTTCTCCTCTCCATCCAGCATCTCATACATGCATCTGTCCATCTGTCCTTCCTTCCTTCCTTCCCCTTGCTGATCTCTTCTGTCTCCACTGTGTATTATACTTCCAGCCTGGACTAAATAAGACTATTTGTTTAAGTTTCCCAGTCTGACCCACATCTCTTTGTCTTTGCCGGGACACTACCACAGAGGATCTCTGCGCTCACTTAGTGACATCATCATCAAATTATTTTCTTTCAAAAACCCCACCCATGTTCGCTGGTGTGGCTTCACACTCGGGATGTCTGCTCTGCCAAAAAAACCCACCACATCACTGAGTCAGCGCCCGAGCAGGAGGGGCCTGGTTCTTCCTAGATTTGGGGATGAAATCAGACCTTTTCCAAATAAACAGCACCAGCTGAAGTCCTCACAATGATGGGGTCAGGTTTATGGCTGTTATGTAATCCAGCGGAGGTTTGACTGGGTGGGTCATGGGTGGGACTCCTTTCTTTGTAAATATCAGATTTTATGAGGGTTTTGCTGTTATTACTGGCACCATTTCCCCCTCTCTCTTTTTTAGGCTTATTACAGGTTACAAAACCCATTTTAAATTTTACATACAAATTAAATATTAAGACCTGATCATTTCCAGTTTGCCTGAATTGCAAGGACTGTGAAAAGTCACTATAAATGTGTGAAATTTTTGTAAAACATGAAGGAATACTCTTATTTTTTTAGTTATTTCCTTGTGTCTGTCCACAAACAAGCCTTTTAGTCTGATGGTTCACTGCTCGTCCACTGCTCAGTCGGATGACACAGTGACCTGCTGGACAAAGCCGAGGCACAGGCAGCAGCATTGGTTTATGGGCTGTATAATAGATCACTTTGTTGACAGTGTGATATGCGAAAAGGCCACGGCTTGTCCTTTCGGTTGCCCTGGAATGGGCTCTGAGAGCACAATAAGTCATCACATATGGGAAAGACTTGTTCTGCTGTTGCAGACGAGTCATGTTTATGATGCTTTGTGGCTTTGAATGTTTCTCATAGTTCAGTCTGTCAATATCAGCTGGCTGGAGAACTTCAGTCACATGGGGTGGATCCAGAGGTGGGGCTGGAGGGCTATAGAGCTAACAGTAAACAAGGCCACTGCAGTGACCCAGCTCACAACCTCAACTAATGTTCATGCATAAATACTACCTGCACTTACTCATAACACCTTTTTGTGAATTTCTTTTAATTAATTAATTTCACCACAAATCTATAATAACAATCAGTATTTTCAAGCCCTCTGTAAATGTGACAGATTATATCAGATGGATTCAGTGACTCTGTGGGTTACAATATTGGTCTGCCAGTCAGTCCACCACTTTGGTCCAGACATTAGTGAACTCTTCTGACTATAATTGGTTGGATTGCTGTGACATTTGTGCCACACATTCATGTTCCCATCAGGATGAACTCTAGCGACGCCCTAAGAAGCTGCTCCCTGCTCATGCTCACAAATGTGACCATATTTACATTTAACATAATTTAACATCATGTTCATCCAGCGACAGCATTAGGTACCTTTTTTAATTTACGCTTTGGTTTGTGACTAAATACTTGAAAAGAATAGACATTGCAATAATACTCAGCTGTACTTTGTGTTTACTTGTAAGAAAGTGCATGTTAACAGACTGAGTTAAGATGTTTTAGCATTTCGCTCAAAACACTGCTTTGCGTAAGTATAATATCACATTTGGATCTGATTATTCTGATATGATCATCAACCCGGGGCTGTTTACTCGGGCCTGTGTAAAGACTGGTTGCAGTTTTCTTTCTGAAACTGTAAAAGTGACCTGCAGTAATCGAGCCACAGCAAGAGCGGCTGCTCAGCCAGCCAATTCAGTGCAGCTCGTATCAGTACAGAGAACCTCAAACTGGAGAATCAGTTGTCGTTGAAGTGAACGCGCTGCTGTCACGATTGAGGTCATATATGTTGATAAATCCCACTGTCGCCTGTTTATTCAAAGTTTATAAATAGTGAACATATCGCCTGTCCAAATCTGCCTGGGATGCTCACAGAGTCGCCTTTGTGCTCGTACCTTCCCACTTATCTATGGAAGAGCACCAGAGTTTACGTCTCAGCTGGGAGAAAGCTGCTCCCCGCTCACAAACATGACTTTGTCCTGACAGAGTTCTCAAACCAGGAACATTTACATTGAACATCACAATTTTCACGGACCTATACAGAGCTGTGCCTCAGAGTGCCCTGAGCAGTAGAACATGATGCACTGACGGGCCTCTGTACAGATGGTATAACCCACTGACCTCACTGAATAATTGACCTATAAATTATGGCAGCAGATGATGCCGACAGCTTGAGTGAGGACTCCGTTTGACTAGTCAGCAGATGACCACACTGTGTGTTATTGTTCCTGCTTCAGAGATTAAGATCACGGTCACGGTTTCTTGTCAAAAAGAATCTCTTGACGATAAAAAACAATGTTTAAATTCAAGGAATTCCTCCTTAGTTTACATACTGAGTTTATCCAACTATACTTTACAGCAGAAATACTGAACCAAAGTCAGACCGTTTGTTTATGCTTCGGTGTTGTTACACCTGTACTTCTGCAGATCTGTGTTTACTCGACTCAGCCAACTTTCGATGGCTCAGCTCCCGTTCAGCTAAAGTGCTGCTGCTGCTGCTCCTCTGTTGACTGATACCAAACATGCACTGGACATTGTCCTATTAGTTTGCTGATAGGTCATTGTGCACCACTGTGTGTTATGGTTTACTTCTTTACATTACCATGTGTGCTGTTACCCTTCTTATTTAATTAATATTCCTTTTTTTTTAAATGTTTTACAAGCTCTCCTTGTTTCAGACATTGAGTAAAATGAGCTGGTCTTCAGTTCAGAGTGGAATGTTGGTTTTATGGCTGTTGTCCAGACCCTCTTGCTCTGAGATGATGGCAGAGGAATTAAAGTTAAGGAGTTGCCTCCTGACCCCCTTCGGCCAGTTCCGCCCGAATAATCCGCAGTACCTGTCATTTATTTGTTTTGTCAGGTTTAAAGCAGTTTGGTTTGGATAAACAGCAACTCTTGTTTTTGGCTTCCTGCCTGAAATTGAGGTTTTATGGTGCAGGGATTGGGAAGAGGTCGACCTGCAGGTCAGGGATCTGGTTTCCCTCATCTTGGCTCAGTGAGACCTGGGATGTCCCCTATACATATAATTGATTTCATTTGTTTTTGACCAACCATTGACAATAGTAGAAATATAGAATATCACCACACAGAGCTGTAAAGTTCTACTAACAAAAGATGTTGGAATAAATGTCATACCAGTCCTTTACCAGCCGCCGTCGATTAAACAAGAGGAAAACACATTTTTTGTTTTTTCTATGATTTCTGCAGAGTTCCTCCCCTGACGGTCTGGTCTCCATTCTGAAGAGGAGGAGAGCGTCTCTGGATGGACTCCCTCCCCCCAATGACATTGCTACTAAACAGAACTCCAAACGCAAAGTTCGCTTCAGTGAACCAGAGGACGGCATCGAGCAAGGTACAGTTCAAGTCACCTGTCATCTAAATGCATTCATGACCAGAAACAAATATTAAGTATAGAACCACGGCAGCTGCAGGATGTGAGATCACTGTGCTACGTCAACTGACTTTATTAAGACGTATTAACTTTGAGTTGTATTTCTTACTTCTCAGATGAGGTGGGTGGAGACTCCTGCCTGATCCTCCTGCTGCTGTGTCTGGTTACCGTGGTGATCAGTGTAGGTGGGACCGCTCTCTATTGCACCCTGGTGGACACGTACTCGAACATTTGCACCGACTTCACTCAGAACGTCAACTTCTACGTCATGAACGTACGGAGGTTCTTCGAGGGGCTCGGTCACTGGCTGCCCCTCCGGACTTAACGCGGACGCTCGCAGACGTTGGTGCTGTAACAGACAGTGCGAGACACAGAGCGTGAGCACTGCACAGACATTCATGTGAGGCTGTCATCCAGAGCGTTTCAAGTTCGATTCCTTCCCCAATCACTGGACTTGTGTCTGAGCATAAGAGACTTGTACATTTGACCAAACAGTCTGAGATGTACAGTATGTGTCAGTCATCCGGTGCTCAAAGCAACACCAAACAGTAACAAACCAGATCTCTTCACCTCAGAGGACGTGAGGATGAGTACATGTTGATGAAGGTTGAAACAGCTTGTTTACTACAGTCTGAGTGGAAGCTTCATCTTCAAACTGAACCTTACAAGAGGGCTCCCAACTCTCAGCCATATTTATATTTGAACACAAGTACTTTATCTGTGTAGTAGTGTTTCCCTCAGAGTTTTTCTTCTTCTGGTGGTTTTATTTGTACAGAGAGAAGCTGTCTTTGGCATCATTAGGATCATTAGTGTGTGTCGTTTGTTTGTACCATTAACAGACCATGGGATTTTCGTTTGGATTTCATTCTGCCATTACTGTCTGCTCTTTTGACCCATCTCTGCTAAATGTGTTCATCAGACGCATTAATTTTTTTTTTTAAAACATCAGATTCTAAATATGAGCCTTCATGATCCTTTCACTGAAAAGGTGTTTACCTCAATACAAGTGGCTACTCTTAACATTCCTCTGATCACCTGACAAAGAGTATGATATGAAATTATAAAGGCATAGTTAGGTCAGTGTCTTATCAACAAAGCACAGCATTAAGTGAAGTAACTTACAACAAAATACATCATGATTAGCAATATGCAAAACAGTAATTCAACAGATGCTCACTCACCCTGTGTTTATATTTTCATCTTCATCATTTAGAGTGTGTTTCTAAAACTCCTGCTCAACAGTCGTCTCTTGCTGCGTGCTATGATATGAGCAACTATGATATTAAAAGCCCAATGCAGTGAGAAAACGCATTTTGATTGTGTGCACACTGTGGACACTAAATCTCAGAGAGCATAAACATCCATGAAGGCTACTTTATCGCTATATTGCATCATCTATTGAGATGTGATACATCTGCATCATTATGTGGATCTGCTGATCATGATCCCAGATATTAGCTCTCTATATATGCTTGATTTTTCTTGAGGAATTTACACAAATGTCTATACACTCCATATCTCTCAATGTAAAAGAACATTTAAAATAACTCCTGGATCCACATGGATGGAATACACTGTAAATGCTATGGGGTCTTCTTTGGTACTCATCCCACCCCTCCACCAGGTTTCAAGAAAATCAGTTCTGTTGTTTTTGCGTAATCTAGACAGAAATTAAATCCTGATCTCCTTGGCGGAGGTAATAAAAGGTCAGTGTATATCTTAGATGAGCGTTAACATTTATTCAAAACTTTATCTAAATGACCCAGTGAGTTATGAGCACAAGGTGTCTTTTATATGCACTGGGAGTTTAATACCTGGTTTACATAAGTTTTTATTATTTTTATTTCCTGGTTTGCTCAAGTTACACAAAAGAAAAACATTCATTATTTGAATGGATGCAAAATGAAAATTTCAGCATGTGTTTTTTTGAACTGATTTCTACTCTCCTTCAGAACTCCAGATGTTTTCAAAGTAGTGAATATTACCTCTGTATTGTCACTGTGTATATTGTTTACCAGCAAGTGTTGCATTATGCAATACATCTTTATATGTTTTAATATCTATGTTCAGTTGTGTCCACAAGGGAAATTTAAAAATATATTCAGATTTTCCATTGTGTTTTCGGTTTTAAGGTTTGTTTTAACCTGGGCATGGAAAAGACTCTCTCACATCTGTATTAAATGAGTCTCATTTAATAATATGGCACCAAGTAGAGTGCATTCCTCCACCAAGGCCAAACAACAGTCCCCTTAAGTTCAATCAAAGTGCATTAAATTTCACTTCTCCAAACATGCCTGGTTATTTCCCATCAACACCCATGAATCATTCTCTGAGAAATCACGATGTTGAAAAACCTCCGATCTAACAATGTTAGAAGCAAAATAAAAAGAATCCTGTACAAAATATAATAAACACAAACAAATGCAGAAGAAAACCACCTCCATGGCAGTGCTTATCATTAAGATCGTTTTTACTAAATATTAAACTTTTGTTCTTGACACCAGATTCCAAACGTGTAAAACCGACCTTTCCCCACAGGAGGCCGCTGTACACCTCAGAATGAACGGCCATTTTCTCTGCAGCCAGACCGAGCACATGGTTGGTAAAGTTATTAAAAGACTCGTCGCAACATATGAAACATAATTTACGTTCCGTATACTTCATCTGATAATGCATTTTTGCATTTTGCGAACGTTTTAGCATCTGATCGCCCCGAGGTTGTGATGTTCAGTAAATAGTGGGACAACAAAGAGGCTGAATAAATCTAAATATACATGTAAATGTGTGAGTGTTGTAATATTAATGAAATAAAGTCCTCTCACCACAGCAGCTGTGATTGTTGCACCAGCAGGTGCAAACACACGCACAACACATCAGCCAATCAGCGCGCACACAGGACCGGAAGTTCCGTCACCGGGCGGGACCTTGAACAGATTGTGCGTTCACGTGCAGTCGGAATATCGGAAAAAGGAGTTCTCTATTAGGTGATATCACACGACTGTGATCTCAAATTGAAACAACAACTCACTTCCAAATTGTATAAACATCTCTGACAAGCACCTTACACATCTTTAGTCAATACAACATTTTTACATGCGTGTGTGTTGATTATGTATTTGCTTTTCACACCCGATCCCTTTTTTGCTTTTATTTATATTGCAAACATTAGGAAAAGGAGTAATTTTGTGATTTAAACTCTGCAAACACGTGGATATATAGTCTTTCGTCAAAACACATGACCACACACTAAGGTTTGAGCAACGACGATCAACGCGGGGGAAGCGGACCCTCAGAGGAGCACGCGAACGCACCAAAAAGCAAAACAATGGCGGCGTCCGTGAGCTCCGGCTCGCACAGGCCTCATCACATCGTTGTGTTCGGGGCCACGGGCTTCACGGGCCGGTTTGTGGTGGAGGAGGTGGCCCGCTGCGCCGCAGAGAGAACCGGGGGTGGCTCGCTGAAATGGGCCGTGGCCGGGAGAAGCAGACAGCGGCTGGAGGAGGTGTTGGAGCGAGCCGCTGACAGGCTGTGTAGGTGCAGACATGTCTGTTCAACAGACTGACACTGTGAAGGTTCACTGCGGACTGACTGACAGTCTGTGCTGCGTCTGGTCTGCTCATGTAGTCAACACTACAGTGATTTCATGTTAATGACACGCAGCTTTAAGCATTTAGAAAACAATATATTTTATTATATCGGATATTTTCAGCTCGGTTCGTAATAACTCAGAAATAAACTAAGCTTAAAGGGTAACAGTGTGTGTGTTTTATAGCTAGAGTCAATACTGACTGAAGAACAAGTAGATTTGCTGTATGCACTTATAAAAAGATATCATTCTGTTTTAATATCTGATATTTTCTACCTTGTTCACAATAACCCTGAATAAAATGTAGTTCAAAATTGCTTTGCTCTCAGTTCGTTCCTGAGAAACCTGCCTCTCAATTTAAAGGCCATGACTGTGAGGATGTTTCTCAAAATGCACTGGAATCACAGACTCTGGAGGTTTATTCTTGATTTCCTTTCCTCACATATGACTGTACTTTCTATAATGCACATTCACCGATTGATTTCATATGCATTCACTTTAATTATCCTTCTTATTCACAACAACTGGTTTAAAGCCCCATCAGACTTAATTTACGGGCTGACTCTAGCTCCTTTCTCACCTGGAACACTTTTCTAATAAGAAGACAGGACATCTCTATTACAGATGGACTGCTCTTGTTCTCTGGCCAGCTTCTGGCTGTAATGATTTATTAATGTGTCTGTTTCTTGTTTGGTTTTTCTGTTTATTCTGTTGCCTGTGTGTACATTGTGATATCTGTCGGGATCCCCTCTAAACGAGACGGCACATCTGAAGGGGTTTATACGAATAAATACATTTGAATTTTGAATTGAAAAATGCTTTTCAGATTACCCTCAGTACAAAGTGCTTCAACAGTTTCAGTCTGATGTGAACACACACCTTTTAAATCAGGTTTAAGCTGTGTGTTATATATGTGAAGGATTTTCCCTCCTGTTTTTCTCAGCCATGCCCGAGGTGAGGACAGACACTGAAATCATCGTTGCCGATGTGTCCATGGAAGAATCGCTGGCCGTCATGTGTCAACAAGCTGTGGTTGTTCTCAACTGTGTGGGACCAGTAAGTGTTCAGTTTTGTCAGGGGGTTGAAACAAAGGGAACGTAGAGATGATCTTTGACATGTCACATTGGAATAAAACCCACAGCACTGTGATCATGTGTTTGAAACAATGCTGTCTCTGTTCCTGCAGTACAGATTTTATGGTGAACCTGTGGTCAAAGCTTGCGTAGAAAATGGAGCTCACTATGTCGACATCTGTGGAGAGCCTCAGGTAGCGTGTCTTTAAATGTCTTTCTATATTTCTCAGCTGTTGGTAAAAAAATATGACTACTTGCATCTGTTTGTGTATGACGTGCAGATACAATGTAACACATTTGTGTTTTTGTGCATTGTTGGTCGTCCAATGTGAACAGTTCCTAGAGCGTATGCAGCTTGAGTATCACACGAAGGCCTCGGACAAAGGAGTCTATGTGATCGGCAGCTGTGGCTTCGACTCCATACCAGCCGACCTGGGGATTCTCTACACACAGAGGCAGTTCAAAGGTAGGAAACAGGAGACATGTCACAGAGGTCAATCATTCAATGTAAAAATCCCCAGCAACTAACCACAGAAAGAACACTTCAGTGTTTTCAGAGACTTGTGTTGATTTTTATATTGTTCTCATTTAACACATGCAGAATCATCTACTTGTACATAAATACTTGAATGATTTTTGATATATCAACAAATAATCACAAACTGGTTTTGTTTTGTTGAATACAAACAGTTACATTTAGTTGAACTCACACATTTGATTGTATTTTCCTATAAATTCTGATCGCACCTTATTTTTCATCCATGTCTGATTTCAGGAACACTGACGGCTGTGGAGAGCTTCCTGAAAATCAGCAGTGGGCCTGAGGTAGTCCTAACAACTACTGCCTCTGCACTGCATGATGGGAAATGTAGTTTGACACAGTTTCTTCACCCTTTAAAAAAAAAAAGGGACAGCTTTTGAGCCGTCATTAGAAAGCCACGGTTAAAGATATGACTAATTGTGGATAGTATATTTTAGAAAATATCAAACAGACATAAAGCTGAAAACATTTTAAAAATAAAATATGGTTTAACTTTACTTTGACCAAGTTTCACAGAGATAATCTAACAGAGGCCCCTGGGGTAATTGAGAGAGTATATATGAGAGACCAGATGCAGTCACAGGCGACTCTGATATTCCTTCATATGACAAATAGGTCTATATTTCACTCGTAAGTAATTTAACTTGCTGAAACTCTGAGGTGACTATTATCATTCAGTGTTGGTTTCCTGCAGATGACACCACGACAGAATTTTAAGTGCTCTCATTCCTTACCAGGGGTCGTGTGGTCATGACACCACTTGGCAGTCTGCTGTGCACGGCTTCGCAGACAGCGGCTCTCTTCGCCAGCTGAGGAAGAAGTTTGGCCACAAGCCGCTGCCTGTAGTGGGAGCCAAAGTCCAAAAGAGGTAAGATTATCACCAAGCAATTACTGTCTGGCTAAAACACTTCACTTTGAGTAATATCAGTTTTATTGGAATGTGGGGCTTGGCCAGCAGCAAGTTAAGAAAAGTGATGTGTCACGTTTCCTCTGCACAGCACAGAGAGATTTACCCTGTGAAACGAATACGTCTTAATTTTTATTCCTGACCTACATTTGAATAATTTGATTCCAAAGTGATTGATGGGAATAATATTTAGCTGAATAACTTCATTTAAAATATAGTGCAGTGTGAGCCAATGCAATCATCAGAAAATAAATGTAAGTTGATGAAATGTAATTGCACATAATGTGGTACAAATTCTACCTTAAAAAATTGTTGAGGTTTTGGAATGAAAACCTTCATCGTCATCAAATTAGTTTAGTCTCAGAGGCTGAAAGTTGTAATTTGCAAACTGTTCATTTCTGTGTGGCTGCGACTTATAGTCAGTGAGATTTTATTAGAATGTGGGACCTGGCAGTGACAAGGAGAAAGATTTAAATGACCATCAGTGGATGAAAAGAGCTCCAGCACTACTGTGCTGATGCTGCAGGCGGAGTTTGATTTGGTGAAAGTACACCACTTTGCTTTCTCTCTGTGAATTTCTGTGTGTGTGTGTCTCCAGGGGTTTTGTGTTTTTCAGTAAGGAGATCGAGCAGTACGCCATCCCATTCATGGGCTCTGACCCCTCCGTTGTCAAGAGAACCCAGCGTTTCCTTTACGATGAGGAACAACGGTTACCAGTAAGATTACAACGACAACACAGTTTCTCTATTTATTAGAGTGGTTGTTAACCCTAGAGACGTTTCCTTGTAAACACTGTTTACACTTGAGGCCTGCAGAATGCATTTGTGTCCTCATTAAACATTCAGCATAACTGAAACAAATATGTATCATGGATATTACTCACCATTTACAAGGTAGCTGCACACAGTAACTTTGAAGCATGACTTAAAAATTGAGAGAAGAATTACCGACATTTTCCTCTTGTGAAAACAGAAATTCATAAAAACCGAATTTCACTTTCCCTCAATTAAAATCACAGAGGAGTTTTGCTGCTTCCCCCTTTTTGTTGCTGTCTGGTATTAACAGTAGCTCATGGTTTGCTAATGTTTGCTGACTTCACATTGCTAATGCTGCGTTAGTGAGATTACTTAGTCGGTTTCAGAAATCTGCATTGTGATTCAGTAGCAGTCGTGTAGGAACTGGTGCCGGATTTCCACCCTGCACATCATCATGTGTTGGCTGTGATGTTGATGTAGGTCAAGTGCACTTTAAAACAATTCTATGTCCCCTGGCCAAGACAGTTCCACATACTACACCTGCAATCATTTTCTCTGAGATAAGAGATCTGATTGTGCCTTCCAACCCTGAGGCCCCATCACAGCACAGTTTACTACATTTCCATGTCATCAATAATTTGGCACGACCTGTTCCAGGCAGTGAATTGCTGCTTGTATCTCAGTATCCTGAGGAACACAGATATCGGTACGCTGCATTAAGTGACACAAAAAGGTTGAATATTTACAACACCTTGTCCTTCTTATCATAAATAAACATTATATAGTACGTGGTTGACTCTGCATCCTGCTGATGAAGAGCCAAGTCTCTGTATCCCTGGTGTACCTGTAACTAGGTCAGCCATTCCAGCAGCTGTCACTGTTTTGATCACAGCCAGAGACACAGTCGTTAATGAAAATATCTCATTATGTTGTTTAGAACGCCATCTACCAGCGGAGTGGAAATCTGATGACTCATCCGTAGTGATTCATCACTTTCCTCCCCGCTGCTCATTACTCCCTGCGA